CCTCCTAAAAACTAAATTTGACATCGGTAAAGACCATGGAGGTGTCTCATTGTTATTGTGCAACCCTTCCCATGTATCCATGTTAATGCTGTTAGAATACTTCTACAGTTAAATGAGGGTATTTTTATTAATTTGTGACTTGGTGGTGCTGAATGTCCTAGAAGCTGTGCACACTGCTCTGAATCTCAAATTCATTTTACAGTGAATATTTAAAAAAAAAATGCTTAAAACACTATGTTTGCTTTTGTTCTTAAATTCTTGAGAGTTTTATATTTAAATTAACACAGCTAACAAAACCAGTAGCCCAGACCAGAACAAAACCTCTTTATTGGAAGGTAGAGCAGCTCTAACTGGACAAGAGGTCCCAGGAGCTCCTCTGGTAGCTTCGACGCCTCCTTTCCTGGATCCGGTTTACGTGAGGGAATAGTGACCTCAGGTGTCTGTTAAATTAATCACAGGAATCTCTTTCCCACGAATTTATCATTCTATGTTTCTTCTATTTATTGAAGTTTCTACTGAAAATTAAGCTGCTGTGAGCCAGCTGTTCTGGCTGGCACACCTCCACAAATGCTGTCCTGGCTTTTCTTGCCTTGGCACTTGAGATTTCATGCAAACTATGTACAGCTGTTCACTCAAGGGCCCAGTCATCTACACATAAGAATGAGAACAAGCCTGTGTTAAAACTGTTTTTAATTGGTGTGCTCGCTTTCCTTACATATCATGCAGATCCTTTTAATGCCGCGACTTCGGTATTGTTTGGTAGTTTGGAGACTATGCAGTACTTCTAAAGATCAGATACAAAATCTATTGCAAATCTTAGGATAAACTCATCTTGACTTGCATATGAGTTCATTGTCACTCATATAATTCAAATGTCAGCATGCACATTGGTTAAATATTTGGATAGCCTAATGAATAGAAATGAAACATAATACAGCATAAGATGAAGTAGTGTGCTTATGGTAACGGATTATGTAGACCCTAAAGAATGTAACAGTAAGAGCAGAAAACTAATATATAGCTTAAATATAATATTTAATACTCATTGAAAAACAGCAGAGGGAAAGATAAGAAATCAGTGCAAACTGACATGCTTTTCACTTGGAGTAAGATTCAACCAGATGTCTAAATTTACCAAACAGCTAATTGCTAGCAAAAACTATTTGCTCTTTTCTGCTTAGATTTCTACTGGCTTAGTGATGTGAACCCAGTGGCAAGGACCATTCCTGGTGCAAAGGACAGGGTCAGGAGTTTCCCCAAGGGTCAGCAATATGTAAAAAAAAGATTTTTCACCAATAGCCATTCGCACCTTCAGCAACTGTACCCATCCAGAAAAGCTCTTCCTTTATACTGTCTCCATTTCTACAAATCATTCTGATGACTGGTTTCTGGATTAATAGGATTAAAAATAATGTTTATTGAAACACATGTGCCTCTTGGAAAAGATCAATCAGGGTAAAATGACACTTTAAAAACTTGCTACAGCTGTTGATAGTGATAAAATTAATGGAAGAGTGAAAAGGTTCATTCTAGGATGTAATAAAGTATATAGACTGATAACTGAATTAATTATACAACCATTCTAATTATTAGACAGTTCTATAAATGAGATGTGTGTACTGTACACACTGTCAATTAATAAATTCCATATTTCTATATGATGTTTTAATACATATTTTAATTCATATTTTCTGATTCTGTAACTGGAATTAGAAAAAAATGAGTTATTTAAAACCTCAGTCTACAAGCTTTATCTGTGGCCTCAACCTTTGAAGGAACTATATAGACATGTTTCAAAACAGACCTGCACAAAGTCAGGATGCACAGTACAGAGAAGCTTGCAGGACCCAGGCCCCTGAGGAGCAGGGCCTTTTGCTTACCCTCTCATGACTACTGCAGCATTCAGACTGATGCCATGATAATATGGTGCCTTCCCCATTTCAACAAGCGAGCTCTGCACAGATGCAGAGGATTATCAAGTACACACTTTTCATACTGAGTATTTATTTCCCACTCTCATCCTAGCCCGTAAATCCAAACTGACAAAAGTGACAAAACATTTAAATCACTCTACATCCCCAAATTCTGCAAAGAAAAAAATGTAAAATAAGAACTTATGCACACTGCTTGCCATGTTTCTGATCTTAGGGAATCCTAAGGAGTAATTAACAACTCCATGCAACCAGTCATACATTGAAATGCCAATACAGTTTTAGACAGCAGCAGTCACAGAAGGGGGAACAACATTTTTCACCCTTACCTTTTCCACTGTCCATCATTAGTACTAGAGTAGCTGGTGGTGGAGACCTGACAGCTTTATCACCCAAGCTGCCAGAATTTACAAAGCCGCCTTTAAATTCACGGCAGTGCCTGTACGCAGTCTTATAACTCCTGCAGCTCCTGGGTGGAAAGAGAAATTAAATGGAGCTGTGAAAACTGAAATGTCCTGATGAGTTACCATCTTGCACTTTACATAACAGCTCCAGAGACATTTGCAGGGAAAGAAAAAAACACTCAAAGCCTCAGCACACATTACAAGTGTAATTCCTGCAGGTTTTTTTCCAGGAAGGTAAGCAGTTATTGCCACTTTCTTAATTCTGTCTTATACATGCCATTAAGCAGTGCATGGCTGTTTCACTGAGAATGAATGAGAATGAAGCCAAGAGCGCACATCAGCACGACATCCAGACTGGGTTGAAATCCAGCCCCCCAATCTTTCTCTGGCCTGTTTAAAACAGCAGCTGGGCACATTCATAGTTATTTTCCTGCCTTGTGTTTCCACCAGTCATTTATACCAGGCCACAGCTGACCACCTCCAAACCCAATTTTTCTGTTTCCACACAATAGTTTTATATTGACTGCTACAAGCATGACTGCCCAACGTATGTACAGAACAGTGAAGAATCACACAAATGTACTTATGCACTGTTTTCTTCCAGCCCAGGATCTCCTTCTGTGCCCCTTGTACAGTCCCTTTGCAGCTGGTAGGGCAGTGAGAAGATAGCGCGTCTGGTTTTGAAGGCACACCAGGCCTGTCAGATATCCTGCACAGCTCCTTTGAGTCTGGCTGCAATATCAGTAAGACAGTAACTAGCATACAATGGCAAAAATACACAGCAATCTTCCCAAACATAGTGTATTTAAAACACTGATGTGGACCACCACAAATCAAGCTGATGCGGCTCAACAGGGCTGAAAAATAAACCCATGTCCATCATTTTTTCTACAGGCATTACCACAGATATGTGGTGATCACTTGCTCAAAAGAAATTGATAGCCTACGGGATTAATACTCACACCTACGCAAATCTGACCCTCTCTTAAATGATCTGCAGTATAAATTATTTCCTAAGATGTTAGATCTCTGGCTAGTGCCAGCCTATAGCAAGTAAGGTCTTACCCATAAACTCATTCCTAAAAATGCCACCGATTTAGAGGTGGAATCCATCTCGACAACTACAATAATACTGGCATTTCTTTGAATACTGGGTCCTCACTAGGAAGAGATGGTGAAATCTTTCAGTCCACATCACATGGCCAAAGTCCATGTAGTAAGTTCTGACATCTAGACCTACCATTGCTAAAGTTCTCAGGGAATTCTGTAGTCTGCTTTTTATCTTGTTTATTGTGTACAAAGATGTAAAATCTTTCAGAAGTGGTGCTAAGACTATAACAATACTTCGACAGTTTAAAACATTCAGATTTTACTTGGATGGGTGGAAGCCACAGGGCAACAAGATCTTGCAGAGGCAATACAAAATACCTTGGTGACTACAAAGAATATAGTTCTGATTTTAACTGGCAGTAGATGGTGGCTGTGCCTTGAGCTGAGGTAGGGTTTAGTATATTAGCACTGAAATAAGGTGGAGAAAACTGCAGTTGAAAATAAATCTGCAGTGGAAACATTTAAAGTATTATTAGGATCAAATTCTCCTCCCGGTGACTTCACAGAAGATCTGGCTCCCATGAATGACAGGCTTTGTCCTACCCCTCTTGCAATGTGAGACTCGCCAAGTGACAGCCTGGAATTTACCTGGAATTTACAGGAAGTGTATTATTTCATAAGTCAAAGAAATCAAAGATTAATTCATCAGGGCTTGAAAGTAAAAACTATATAATACCCACTGTACAGCAGGGGTTCTGAAGAGTATAGAAATGAAACTTCAGTGCAGAGAAACACTTTTTTATATTTTTTTGCTTTTTCCTTTTTTTTTCCTAATAATATGGTCCATAGTAAGTCTCCAGAGAGGTCTGCAAAGAAACTTAATTTCAAAGGAGCAGAAGTGAGTAACAGTCTGTGAACAAAAGCAGCCCATCATAGAAAACGGTGCCAAAGAAGAAAAAACAAGTCAGACAGCTTTACAGCCTGTGATTTTCAGTCCCCAAAGCAACTCTAAAGCAATCAAAACAACTCGTCCTTTCCATCAGGATATTACCATATTAAATAAACCACACACAATGTGTTGATGCAATTCAGCTCTATTTTTCTCCACCATAACTGTAAACCTGCAAAAAACAAATGTTGACCCACAAACATACCTTAATATCATGATAATTGCCCAAGGATCTCTTCTCCAAAGGGAATGGTTGGTTACCATACACCACTAACGGAATCTAACCCAAATGGGTTGTACCAACTCCTTATTCTAAACCAAATATTATGTAACTCTTAATTATGACAGAGTAGTTGACAACAATCTCACTGTAAAGTCTTTTTCAGCTTTGTGGGTAAGCTGTACCAGCAATGAACCCAGGAAGAAAGGTATTCGTTGTTCTGCTGTTCTCCCCTGGGGAAGCTCAAAGCCTCCTTCTGAAGGGGAAGGTGATGGGTGGAGCAGCGAGGAAAAACTTGGTGCCGTTAACTTGGTGCCAGGCTTGGATATTTGGTATTTAAGCTTTAAGTTATACTTCAAAAAGATAGATACTGTTTTGAGTCATGCAGGCTGGAAGGGACCTCGGGAAGTCTCTAGACCAACCTCCTGCTCAAAGCAGGGTCAAACATGAAGCCAGAGCAGGTTGCTCAGCATTTTAACCAGCTTAGGCTTGACACCCTCCAAGGACAGAGACTGCACAACTCCATAGACAACCTGCTCCAGTTCCTGACTGTCCTCATGGTGAGAAAGTTTTTCTTTAAACCACTCTGAATCTTTTTTGTTTCAACTTATGCCTGTTGCCTCTCATCCACCCACCATGCACCACTGGGAAGAGCCTGGCTCCTTCTCCTCCATGACCTCCTCATCAGTCTGGATGGCTGCTCTTAGGTTCCCTCAAAGGTTCCCTTCTCTTCTGCAGGCTGAGCCAGCCCCAGTCCCTCTGCTCCCTCACGGGAAAAAAAAACCGTCTGTGTGGGTCCTGCTTAACTCACTCCAGTTTATCAAGGCTTTTTTGTACTGGGAGACAAGCGCCAGTCTGGAAGGTGAATTCTTAAAAATTTTAAAATATTTTATTTCTGTAAAATGTAACTTTAAATAAATTTTCTCAAAATCCAACAAGGCTTTGCTAAGGACTGGCCATCATGAAAAAGAAGTTAGTAGATTATTGACATCAGTTAGGATAATGTCTTGTTATTCTACTATTGAAACTGCATCCTCCCTTCAGAAACTCGCAACTGCCAGTTGGTTCTAGGGGTAGTTTCATACTAAGTCCTAACAGCAAATTAAAGGCATCTAATAATTATCATAGTTTAATCCTTTACAAATCAGTGACGAGATGAGAGCCCTTACTCATTTGTGCTTGATAATGATTTCAAATCAAAACTGAATCCTCAGCCGGAATAGTTGTTTGTTTCTCCATTTAGAAGCAACTGCTGTACGACATAATCTATGGTATATAATCTATGTTCTCAGAAAAAAATGTGATCTCATTGCTCAGATACGGGAAGAGTAAACAAAGGGAGAAGTTCAGGCACTTTGGTTTTACCCATTTCTACAAAGTGATGAGAAGTTGCCAGCAGATGTGAAAGGTAGCTAGTAGATAACAGTCTTTTCAAAATCAATACTGAAAGTAATATACATTTAATGGAAAACATCCCTATTCTTACTCTTTCCACCGAAGTTGGAAATTCCTTTTAAAATACACTTCAAGGAGTTTTTGGAGATGTTTGGCCACAGTTGACAAATAGGTGACAACAGTAATAAAATGGCTTCAAAGCAGTATTTCTCGAAGATAAATTAGCAGAAACCTTTAAAAATTTATTGTTGAAAAGGGCCACCTGCTCGTGT